AAGTCATATTTTACAAAAAAAAAAAAAAAAATTATAATAATAATTTATTTATTTTAAATATTATTTTTAAATAATAATTAAAAATAATAATAATTTATCTTTGCACAAGCCTAATTTAGGAGCAGATTTTTAACGAGCAGGATAAGATTTTTGCATTGCAACATTATTTTCAGTTCATTTCATTCTCATAATATATTTAAAACTCTCATAATCTCAAAATTAATTGAAATTGTAACATAAATTATAGTAGTATTTTTTTGTACTGTTTAATTTTGGCTGACTTAAAAAAAAAAAATTCTGTATTAAAGTAAAACATTATAAATAAAAAACATTCAGATACATTACGATAATGAGAATTTACATTTAAAATGTGCATAACTGTCATTGAGAAATAATAATACAATGCAAAAAATTATATATAATATAATTATTATATATAATAATAACAATAATATATATATATAGAATGTACATTTTATAATGATATTTAATATTAATAATTATTACATTTTAAATGTGATGGTTTTGTGCAATTGAAATTGTTTTGTGAAAGAATAAGTATTTATAGGCACTTACAGTGAAATCTGTTCGCTTAAAACTAAACCACTGACATGGTCATTGAAGTCAATCTACTTGAAAGCATCTCTACAGAGAACAATCACTAAAATAAATGAATCTGAGATAAAAACATACCACTGCTTATGGCAGCAGACGAGCAAACAGCCCTGTAAGCCAGAACCAGATCAACTCTAAAGAGAAACGCAACGGCACACAGTAATATGAGCAGAGCCACCAGACCAAGACCGATCCAGTAATAACGCTCATTCTGACTCGCTGGAGAGAGAAAGACGAGAAAGCAGGTTAGAAAAGAGGAGACTTTAACTAATAATGTGCAAGAGTAAAAGATGAACTAGAGCTCACCAGGAATAAGAAAGACTTTTCCAAAATCCGAACCTACTGGGTGTTGGACAACACAGGTGAAATTAGTGTATAAATATTCCTCTGTGACTTCTGGGATGTAAAGAACAGACAGCATGTAGTCTCGCTCTCCCTCTTTCACACTGATGAAACGAGACAAGCAGAAGCAAAGTGGTTGGACATCATAAAAAAGATCTCTCTCTCTCTCTCTCTCTCTATTAGTGCTGTCAAACGATTAATCATGATTAATCGCAACCAAAATAAAAGTTTTTGTTTACATAATATATGTGTGCATACGGTGTATATTTATTATGAATATATAAATACACACACACACATGCATGCATATATTTAGAAAATATTTACATGTATTTACATGCATATATGTATATTCATATA